GAGAGTAGGAGAAAAAGAAGTGATTTTCATGAGTATGTTATTTGTTTGTGCACACTGTTGTGATGATTATTACGCGATGAAGGAGCGAGGCACAAGACATTGTCGGCACCCTTATGTTCAATAAATGCATCAATGCGCCTCCGTTTATGTGAGTGTGTGTGTGTGTGTGTGTGTGTGTGCGTCCCTCTATACTTGATGTATCAATCCGGTAATGCTGAACACAAACACGTGGTGTGAGAAATTGCATCCCTTCGTTGTTCATAGCCGAAAATAGCCCGCACACCACAATGCACACCCTCCTCTCAATGTAATGCAAATTGACGCAAATATTTTTCAATCGGTTGCTTGTGCTATCGTTTTTATTGTGTCGACAATTAGGTAAATCACTACTAATTCATGGGGTTGTTTATTTCACATACACACACGCGCGCGCGCAAGCACATGCACGCACTCGATATACTTCATTCGCTTGATTGACTGTGGCTGAATCGCTTCCCCAACCAATAATGTTCACGGTTAAAATGTGCTCAGTTGCCGACAATGATTGCAATTTGATGCGTTTTAAACCAGTGCAAATGCGATTTTATGCCGGATTTATCGAATTATTTTGTTTAACTTGTCATTTCTTTTAGTCGTCTTTCGAAAAAGAATTCGCAGTTTTGAAATGAAAACTTTTTTTCAATCGAACACTTGAAGTTTTCAATTGAGAATTTGGATTTTATTTCAATCGTTCCATGTTCTCGACGGATTTATTTTCTAAAAGAATTCTTTTGACTGTGTCCTTTCAATATCCGAATTTAGTGGTAGAATACACTTTACTGAATTTTTTTTTTCACACATCGTAGATTTGTGAAATAAAGTCCATACGTCGCCAAATAAATCCAATACAGAAGATAGAGAAAAAAAGACGTGTTGCATTCTGTGTGAATCTATTAAGAAAATGCCTTTAATTTTACCAATGCAAAAATGAGTTCATACACATATTTTTCACTGTGAAAAGTAAGCAAAACAAATTTCCTTTATCTCTTCTTACTTCACTTTCTCGATTAATTGCCATTGAATCATTGCCAAGAAGAAGCTATAGCTACATTTTTTTTCCTTTTATTAGCTGAAAAAAAAAAACACAAAACTCACAATAAACTGAACGAAAAAGAAAACAACCAGTCAAAGATTCCATTTTGTTTGTTTTCAAACGTTACTTTTTATTTAATTTACCTGAATTTATGATTTTAGTGTCACAATTGTGTTTCATTCGATAAAATTACATGGATTTCTGTCTGACTAATTCAAATGAATTGCTATTTGTCATTTTGTTGTTTTACTGGGACTAAACTTAAATGTTGCCTTCTAGAAATGTTTATTCGTTCATAGCAAAAAAGATGAAAATTTGTGGGTTTGTGTGTGTGTGTGTGTTTATGTGCTGTGTCTGTTATAAAATCATTTTAAAATTACGTATTTTTTTGTAAGTGAGCGACGACGACGATGACGGCGGCGGCAACGAACAAATATTTCGCCCGCGCATTCCACGTCAAACTAGTTCGCCTAACTTGTAATACACATTGGCTTACACTAATGATGAACCAAAACGTGCACATAATTTTACTTTTGTTTTCAGGTAGATAGATATTTTTGGGTCGTGGGAAATGAAACATTTTATGATTTGTTTGAAACATAATACTGGGGTATGTTCTATGTTATTTGGTGCCAAAAAAGGAGAGTAAAAATGTGTGGTCAACATTGTTGACTTACACAGGAAAATAAAGTTAGAAAAATCATTGAAAAAGTTTCACTTTTTACAAACACTCGAGAAAATCAATCTTGAATTGGCTGAAATTGTTTGCTCCTTTACAAGAAAAGGTATAAAGTGGTGTACAAAAGGTAAATGTAGAGAAAAAAAAAGATAAATCAGCGCCGGAATGTGATTCAATCAACGAATTTTGTTCATCAGTCAATCACTTCTAGTGGGAATACATCTGTATTTGAAACTTTTTTCGATATGAAATTAAAAATTTCGTTCGAATGCCAACACTAATTTTGTAAAATAATTCAATAAATCATCGAATAATCCAATAAAATATGAAATAATTTAATAAATTCTCAAATAAAACTGCAACAAAATTAAAATCAATTGAATAGACCGAAAAAGTTATGCTGCCAATTGAATGAAGTGTCCAAAAATAACATCAAATCGAATTGGATTCGTTTAAATCGAAATCATAAACTGAATTGAAACATCGGTGTAGAACAAAAATCGGTGCGTAAACTGTTGTGAATATGTTCCGGGATCCGATATGTTTATAAAATACATACGGAGAGTGAATGTGCATGGAATGACGGGATTCATCGAGAGTTCAAATGGACGGAACTAATTTTCAGCACATTTGAGTGGTGCTTTTGTTTTGCATGATGAATACCGGCGCCAAATATGATATGTGCCCCGATAACATAAACAATGGAAATTAGCCGTATGAGTTGTGTGCGGGTGTGAGATTGCAGCCTCACAATATATGTTGAATGGCTTTGCCAATTGAATTTCAACCGGAAAATTCCGAGCACACAGAGTATGAAATGTTTTTTGAAGTGTGTAACAATTCAACGGTCTCTAGTGATTACCCTCCGTGTTGGCTGCTTGATTACCAGCTGTGTGTGTGTGTGTGTGTGTGTGTGTGTTTTCAACCTGTTTTTCTCTACATAATTTACCACTAGAAATGAAATAATTCGCTTTTTTCGCCTCTTCAATTCACATTACGCAAAGATTTACATCCACAAAACGATTTTGCTTTCATTTATTCATATGATTTTTTGAGCTCAGTGCATATCTAACAACTTATATTAAACCCTAAATTGTGTGTGTACGATTAATTCTGTTGTTTTGTGTATGCATCTTTTTAAATTGGATTCAGAATTGTTTCCATTGTTTTTAAACATTAGTTTGCCTTTATGTTTGATTCATTGTGATATCCTATAAGTTATGTTTTTATGTCATTTCTTTTTGTTTTTATTTTCAATTGATATGAACGTTTTATCACAAATTATTTTCAACAACAATTTAAACCATAATTTGTCGCATTCAAGTCGCTTCGATACATTGATGGCGACCTGCCATTTCTTTCCTTTAGTCTTTCCTTTAGTCATTGTTATTTTCACTAAATTTTTTTTATTTTTTTTTTCTTATTTTACGGATTGTTCCACTTGAAGTAGAAGAATTCGAAAGTTTTGCCACACAACATTTCTCAGCCGATTTTCACGTTTTCATATCCAAAAATCTGCATCTCTCGATCATTCAATCGCTTTTTTTTGTCATTCCAAAACCATTTTTTTTCAAAACCATTTTTATCTAAAAACATGGCACAAATTGCACAGAAAAAGTGTTTCATTTACAATTTAAAAGAGAACCATTTGACACTCAATTGAAGCGAGAATGAAATCTGGCAGTGATACACGAGGGTGACTCAATAAGATGCATATTTTTCTTCACACGACCATATATCACTGACTGATCGATGTTGTTTTCTCTCTCTCTCTCTCTCTCTTTTCAAAACACTGTAAAAATGTTGTTGATCATTGCGAATGCATTTCGATTTGGTTCGCACCCACCGGATTGTTGTGTCTTCTCAGGCAATTAAGTGTCGATTTAAGTGTTGTGTGAAAATTTGTCTAGAATTCTATGGTATATTTGGAGACTTAGACGGTTGGTTCGGCGCTGAAGCGCAACGGAGTTGGTCATATAACGCTTGGAAGTGAATTTGTGGCGGTTACAGGTGATGGGCTTCGTTTGTTTGGCTTAACACAGTAACCAACGGGTGAAAGTGATGATTGACTGTCGTTGGGTATGATTGCAGCGGCGGCGACGGCTGCTGTTGCTGCCGATGGACATCCACTGAAATATCGCCACGGTGGATACAATGAACCGTACATTTGCTGTAGACGAGCCTGTAGATCGAGGGCAAGCGTTGTGTCCAACGGTGTGGCGGGCAATTGATAGTGGCTACTCAATGGGAAGGTCGATGTACGATGTGGTAGGCCAAGTGTTAGCTCAAGCGATGAGGTGAACGGATATTTTGGTGAAAGATGTTGCACTTGAGCCGTGGCTTGGTGCTGCGGATGCGTTTGCTGTTGATGCGGTTGCGATTCTTTGCCACCACCAGCCAAATGATGATGATGCGAATGCAGATGCTTCTGATGATTTGCTGGAATTTGCGTTTTTACTAAGGTTTTTGGCTTTCGACGCGGCCGATATTTATAATCCGGATGCTCTTTCATGTGAAGCGCTCTACAGAGATGAAAGAAGAAAGAAGGGAAGAAAAATTGCGAGAAATTCGAATAAATCATTTGCATGGCATTTTGATTTTAATAGGTTGATTTGAGGTATTTATTCGAGCATAAGGAAGAACTAGTTCAGCAAAAACGAAGGAAAATTTGTAAGAAAAACTCAACTGAACTAGAATAATACAGGTCTGAACACTGGAATTCTACCGACGGAATTCAATATCGATTCGTGCCTAACATCTAATCTTCGGTTTATTGTTTCAGTTCGATTTTGATTTCCATCAATTCAATATTTCGCACTAAATTCCATTTCTTTTTGCCGTTTTGTTGTTGCCTCGATTGCAACTTTTATGAGTTCATGAACTCGTTCAAAACATTAAGCCGTTTGTCCGTTGAATGAAATCAAGCATTAGTCAGAGTTGACACAGTTGATTTCATTTGTGATAAGACAATTATTAGCGGCATATAACGAACAATAAAATTCCCGTATGAAATAAAAAGTCGAATGGTGTGAACAAATCAAAAGAAATAAAAATCGAATGAAATTAAAGACAGAAAGAAAAAAGTACACACAAACACTGATGTGTTTCATTCGTCGAACAAATGTTTTTTTTTACCTCAATCGTTTTGCTTCATCGATGAATGGACGTTTTTGGCATTCAGTGAGTAGTTTCCATTCGGCACCGAGCCGCTTTGATATTTCGGAATTGTGCATTTTTGGATTGTCTTGGGCCATTTTCCGTCGTTGGCCGCGTGACCACACCATAAAGGCGTTCATTGGACGTTTTATGTGATCACTTTGATTTTTCATCAGTATTTGTGACATGGTTGCTGTTAATGTTTTCTTCGAAATTCCCAAAACTCAAACTGATATCCTTTTTGAATAAATCAAATGTTCCACTTGCAATACTTCAGTTCACTATTTTTTGTCTCGATTTTTCGGCACGTTTAGTCGAAAATTGCTTCGGCCGAGAAAAAAAAAATGTTGATCCACTCCACGAATAGCTTCAGTTACAGTGCATTTTGCACAAAATTGCACTAGTCACAGTTCATTCAAACCACTTCTTTTTGTACAAGATATTTGCTGGTTTTTTTTTCGCATCAATTGCCGTTCATCACTCAAAAAATGACTTTTCTAACAAAAACAACACAAATTGCAACTATTTTTTCTCTTTCTTTTTTGCAAGCGTGTCATTCGCGCCGTACGTGTTTGTATTTATAAGAGGAAGAGTTTGATTTGAAATGCGAACGAATCAAAACACCAAAACACATCCAGCGTGCAACGCACCAAACGCGTGTATCGACGAAAAAAAGCACACCCAAAACTGACGATTATTGGGAACACCAGATAGAGATGATGACAGACTAAACAAAAATCCCAAACAACTGTTCACGTCAACCGATACATTATAAATGCCATCGCCATCGTGACAATCGTCGAATGTGATATTGTGAATGGCGTGTGTTGACTCGGCACCGACAACGGCAACGACGGCAGCGACAGCTACGACGACGACGACAACGGCGATGATGATGTTGATGATGATGCCGCTTTTTTTCACTAAGGGAAAGTGAGGCAAACGCGCGCGAAATCTTCCATCGTTTCACTTCTATTTTCCACAGTGTGTTCCATTGTTATTGGTTTTGTTGTCGTTTCGTCGTAGGCACAAAAAGCGCATAAAATATACATCCACACGAACGATACACTTTCAATGCATTAGAACGAATTCAACACGTCCGTATCGCATCCGAAATGCGACCGGTGCAATGCATATGATGAACAGGGTGCATTGGATGGTTTCTATGATTTCGTTTTCAAAAATGTTAGAATTTTTCGACTTTTTGTGCTTTTTGTGGAGGATATGATTTTGTGACATTGTTCTTTGAATGAAAGTTTTACTCTTTTTTGTCCTTTCATGGGCCATTTTGGACAATGAGTTCAATTTTTGAACTATTGTTTTTTTTTTAAATTCAGGGCCTGAATTTCAGGCACAGCCCTGAATTCGGGCAATTTTTAATAGAAAAGAGAGTAGATGATGTCTTTGCTTCTTTCGATTGAATGTTTTTTTTTTTCATGTTTTCAGGTCCTATTCCCTTCAAATCCTTTCAAAGTCGGTGTTCTCATCAAGCTCAGATCAAAATCTGAGCATAAAACTAAAATACTCATTAAAAAAAATCCTATTTAAATTTCCAAAGTCCGCATTCGACGGTTATACGATGGGCCCGGTCGAATGAAGGACTTCTATCATGGTGAAATGATTTGGTGTATGATTCCGTTCGACTATCTATAAAATACAGTGATGTTGATATTTTGATAATTTGCACAACCACAGAACCGAGGCAAACACATCGAAAAGTCAAATCAATGTAGGACCGAAAATGTTCTCTCTCTCGCTTACTCGTTCATCCACACCGAATGAGCGTTGCATGCAAACACATACTGCAAACACACACATTGGAATTAATCGGATTGAATTGGCATCGAGCACACGCGCACACATGCTCAACACGGCCTCGTACACTTTATGACAATGGCATCGGTGAAATAGATAAAAAAAAAGAGAAGAGAGTGAATAGAAACGATGAAGAAGAACGGCAGAGGCCGTTTGGAAGAAGGCGATGACACAACACACAGGCAATGGAAAGAATCCTGTTGTTTTTTAGCCAGAAAAAATAATACTGATAATGTTTATCTATTGCCTATGCAAATAATGGAAGCGGAATGAATGGGCGAAAAGGTGAATGTGTGTTGCGTGGAGAACGAAACGAAGCGAGAGCAGGCGAGAGCAGTCGAGAGCGCATTGTGTTCTTTTGGTATTGTTGTTGTCGTGTGTTTGTTTGTGGATCGGCATTTTCACATTGGTGGGAAGTGATGATAGCGGTGGCGCATACACAAAAAAACTGAAAAGATTGCGCGTAAAAAAGCTGAGGCAGAGAGAAAGCGAGAGCACACACAAACAATACCCGGAACAAAAGACACCCAACGGCCCCAAACAAAAAGCGAACAACACACACGAACGAAGAGCGAGAAAATTCCTATAAACTCGCCGAGATTCTGCGGTGCTGCTGCTGTCGTTCGAGAGCAAGACGGAGAGAGATGACGATGATTTGGGTTGCGCATTTGCATTGTATTTCTCGCCCATATACAACTAGCTCATATAAATACCAGTTTTTCAGGAGTGAAAGAGCACAAAGAAAAACAAACCAATTTTTGGATGGGTACGTATTGTGTGCCATCATTGTTGTCATCACCATTGACGACGACGATGACAGCGGTGGCGGCGGCGGCGGACGGGTACAAAACGCCACGAAGCTACCGAAAATCAAATGAACACCAACACCAGCCACCATGGAATAGAGAAATCTCGAACATTTTGCGATATCAAACAATCGAGCGCGTGTCACACGTACTACAATCCCATTGTTTTCATCCTTCGGTTTTGCGGGCTGAGCTTCCTTTCGCTTCGCTCTCATTTGATACCACTTTCACGACACTTTTGCCACCCAAGGTTATTTGGATTCGTACATTCAATGCTCGGTGTTATATCAGCCCAAACATACGAACACATACACAATCCACTTCTTTTTCTTGTTGGCTTAAAACCCAAATTAATATCGCTTAACGATGAAATACGTGCACAGAATGGGCTTGTCTTTTCATTGACTGATTATTAGATTCATCTATTTATTTATCCCCCGACAATCGTATAGAAACCAATTTTTCGGCTAATCAAAATATTTGGACAGAACGAGTTACTTCCTTTTGGCAATTTTCCACAATAAATCCTCAACTCAACGGCATTTTTCGGTGGTAATTACAGTTTTCAGTGGTCTGAGACATCGATTATTGAAACTGCCTTTTTGTGGCTTCCGAATGAATTGTGCAATTTTGGCATATTTGCCAAATTTGTTCGATTTTTTGCATCATCATTCACTTCCATTGAGTTAAACGTCAATCGTTGGATGGTCCAAAATGTAAAATTTCAATTTTTCGACAAAATTTGAAACATTCTGTAGCCCATTTTGAACCCAGTAATTAGGTTTTGTTTCTCTCATTAGTTCAAATTGAAATTTTCAATTCGAAATTCATAACGAATAAGGCAAAAAGACGTGTTCCAACGGACTTTTGCCCATTTCAAACGGTAAAACAACGCAGAGTGAATCCATTTTTTTCGTTCCACTTCAAGTTTTGCACAAATAATAAAATGCCAGTGAACAATGAGCAAGAAAAACAATCGTAATTTTTAAGTCAATAATAAGGTTAAATGGTCAGATTCGTTGAAAATTCGTGTGACATTCCATTTCTCGTATAAACTGTTCGGAATTGTGATCCTTTTGCGAAGACAAAAACTGAGTTGTCGACGAAATTATGGGTAAAATAAACCGCGCCACTAACATACGAACCCACAAAAAGCGGAGATAAAATAACATTGGTTTAAGATAAAGGACCATAGCGTTTTATGTGTGTGATATTTGCTTCCTTTTCTGTTCTGGTCGTATAGCGAGCGGTGGTGATTTCTTCACCGAGTGCAAAAAAAAGATGTGGTGTTTTTTCAAATACAAAGATCCCACCCTCGTTTTGCGTTGAGATCGTTGTTGTGCTCGGGAAAAATCAACGCATTGAACAATCAACCACGAAAGCCGTAACAATAACACTCGCAACAATAAGGAAGATGACAATGGAAGGCGCGCGCGAGAGCGAGCTGCAACGGTTATATGTGGAATAGAATAGCGGGTCTCGGTGCGCGCCACCAATCGAAATGAGAAAACACATTTGCGCAGCAACAAAAAAAGCGACAACGACGATGACGACGACGACGACGGCGGCGGCCAAAGACAGCAAGTGTCTGTTTTCTTGGCGAATTACAAAATTTTCGCAGCTACAATCGAAAAAGACAATATCCACACACACACACACACACACACCATCATCCGTTGTCAATGAGAATCGGTGTCGACGTGTGTTTGATATACATGCAACGGTTCTCAGAATTCCCCCCAAACCGAAGAAAAAGCCTCTCATTTTCTGCCATCTACTCTCCATTCGTTCGTTTCTGGTGTGTCACGCGCGCCGTTCGTCGCTTTTTACCATTTCTCGTCTCTCGTTCACGCTATGCGTCGTCGTCGTCGTTGCTGTTGTTGTTGGTGGTTTTTTTTTTCTTCTCCCATTTGTTCGTGTTGTTTGTTATTGTCAGAAAATCATGCGCCAAATCCCACCAATCGTTAGTGAATGGAGGTGTGGTTTTTGTTTCGCTCTGCTCTCTGCTACTCGCTCACCAGCGCACGCTATTATATGACAATATATACACCGTTTGGATACGCGACCAACGCGTTTTGTATCTTTTCCATGAATCGTAACCGTTTTCTTCTTTTCGCTTGTCTTTCTTTTTGTCTTTTTCTCGCCGTGTGTTTCTTTTCATCTCGATGCTGTTCTTGTCTTGCTGCTCGTGCGCTTGATGCGCTTTTTTGCTTTTTCTGCTGGGTTTTTAGTTACTTTTCGTTATTTTTGTCTGTTTTTTTTTTCTTCCATTTTTTTCGCCTTTCGACTTTCGTTGTGTTAGCCTCTCTCGATCTCAATCTTTTGGCATCGTATTTCATGGTTCGATGCTCAGTCTCTCTGAAATCGTGTCTTCGTTCGTGTTGCAGAACCACAGTTCATGGATCAACCAAGAGAAGAAAAAAAAGTTCAACAGGTTGAAAAGCGATTAGCATTTTTGCCATATAGACCAACCTCCCCACCACCACACATTTTCGTTATCATTTCCCAATGCTCGAATGTATTGAAATGGAAAATTGTTCGCGCGTTAAGCACTTACACAAAACACATGTGTTTTGATTGGATTTTCTAAATGGAAATTAAGTTGCTTGTAAAATGGGGAAAAACGGTACGCGCCCGTTGAACGGTTGACATCGTTGTTTGGCTTAAGTACCAAGGCGATTGTGTGTTTTTTCTCTCTTCTTTTCTCGTTTGCTTGGCTGCGTTATCAAGAAGGAAGTGCTTGAATTTTGATGAAGAAGAGAGAGAGAGAGAGAGCGCGAGAAAAATGAGCTGCTTTTCGCCTCATTAGGCAGTCATTTCGATTACTCGTGTCACCGCATTCATTCACCCCCTTCGATTGTTCTGCCATTTTTCAATCCATTGATTGGCGTTTGTCGCCTGCTAAATAGTTCAAATGATCAAGGGGTTTGAAGTTCAAGAACTGGAAAAAAAAAGTCATTGAAACTGCATTGAACAAAAAATCGAACCAATTTCCAGGCAAAATGAGTCAATTTTTTTCAACTCTGGCAAATATTTCATTTTTTTTTTTCTGTTATCCGCACTTCCGATAGGGAAAAATGATGAAACATTTGAACACTTCCATTCATATTATTCATCGCACAAATGGAA